TACCGAACCGAACCGTGACCTAAAAACTGAGGTACGTACCGAACCGAACCGAACCTAAAAACCGAGGTACGTACCGAACCGAAATGTTTGTGAACCGTTACACCCCTAATCTGTATTTATCGTCTATATGCCTGAACCCCGCACCTTAAATGCTCTAAATCCGCACCTTATCAAAATACACTTATTCATATTTACACACATTGATCTGATATGTGACTTTATTGAAGCCTCGTGCACTCTCTTTGCACTCGCTGGTTGGATGCATTTGATTATCCTCTGTGCAATGCCAATAAAGTTGTATCTAATCTAATATGTTTGTTGTTGTGTGTGTTCAGGCACCTGAGTGTGGAGGGAGGACGACTGAGTCTGCAGGCAGGACGGATGGCAAACATGGAGTCTTCTGAGGGAAGTTCAGGATGAGTGAACTCAGACGTGTTCCCATCCTGACAGACATGAGGAACACACGATAAACCACACATGGAAACGGTAAAATGGCACCATGAATGAATGAATCTAAATCCTGACTTACTTTTCGGAGCACAAAGTTATTCTCCCCTTGATTATCAGTCATGTGACCGAGTTCGCTCACATCCGTGTTGTGCGTTGTTTCCTGATCTATCGATGAATCTATGACGGTGACGTCCGTGAAGATGTCCCTCTGAGCTATACGTCATCAAATAAAGCAGATTACAAAAAAAAAAGATGGTAAAACAGAGGACAACACCAATGATAAAGAAAAACCAAATTAGATTTTAAGTTCCAACCATCTCCTCCATCCGCGCGCATCACCTCGTCCTCCTGATGCACACCTGAGGGTTTCATCTGGAAAATAGTCTTGGCAAAGAGCTGCAAAAGTAAAACTAGATCAGATGGCAGTCATTTAACTTCAAAGGAAATGTTTACTATTTCTTGTTCGATTGGGCCTCTTTAAGTCCTGAGCCTGTTTTTCAGGTCTCCGGCTCGAAAATGACATTCCCAGAACAAATGACCATAACTTCACTTCTAAAAAGGGGTACATTAATAATCTTTTTTCTCAAAGCAAGGTTACACCTGTGAGTTGGATGTAGAAGAGTCAGAATCAATATAGATGTTTTTATTCCCTCCTCAAGTCCCTTCTGAAGTCCCTCCTCTAGTCCCTCCTTAAGTCCCTTCTCTAGTCCCTACTTAAGTCCCTACGCAATTCCCTTCTCAAGTCCCTCCTTAAGTCCCTTCTCTAGTCCCTACTTAAGTCCCTTCTCTAGTCCCTACTTAAGTCCCTTCTCAAGTCCCTCCTCAAGTCCCTTCTCTAATCCCTTCTCAAGTCCCTCCTCAAGTCCCTCCTCAAGTCCCTTCTCAAGTCCATTTCCAAGTCCCTTCTCTAGTCCCTTCTCAAATCCCTTCTCAAGTCCCTACTTAAGTCCCTACGCAATTCCCTTCTCAAGTCCCTCCTCAAGTCCCTCCTCTAGTCCCTCCTTAAGTCCCTTCTCTAGTCCCTTCTCCAGTCCCTACTTAAGTCCCTACTCAAGTCCCTTCTCAAGTCCCTCCTCAAGTACCTTCTCAAATCCCTTCTCATTTCCCTCCTCAAGTCCCTTCTCCAGTCCATTTCCAAGTCCCTTCTCTAGTCCCTTCTCAAGTCCCCTCTCAAGTCCCTCCTCAAGTACCTTCTCTAATCCCTTCTCATTTCCCTTCTCTAGTCCCAACACCATGTCCTGTCTCGTTGGGGGTCCCGCCGACTACTGTTCTGCTGGAGGTCCTGCCAACCCCTTGTCTTGTCCCTTTGGGGGTCCCACCAGCTACTGTCCTGCCGGGGGTCCAGCTAGCCCCATGTCCTGTCTCGTTGGGGGTCCCGCCGACAACTGTTCTGCCGGGGGTCCTGCCAACTTTTTGTTTGGAGTCTGCTTTCCACTTTCAATTGGGCATTTATTTGAGAGATATTACATATTTAGCTCCATTATAAACAGCTGAAGTAAGAAAGGAAAGGGAAAGAGAGGCAGGTACATGGGGCCCATTCTTGATTCTCTCATCTTTTCTTTGTTTAGTGCGTTTCATGGGGACTGTGTCAGCGGTGTTAGCATCAACTGGCTTGCACTTTAAAGTTTTTATTTACGTGGACAATGAGGTTCATCATTTTAAGAAAACAGGCATGAACAATTTGGTTTGAGAAAACTTCCTGAATCTGATGCAGACTTTTTAGTTTAAGAAAACAATTATTAAGGCACATAGATACTGTTATTTTGTATTTTGTATTTATTGATTGTTGTGCTTTTATTTATGTCTTGATGTGTGCATATGTATAAATGTGTCTATGGATTGTGTATATATAGGATATACACATTTTTATATATATTTGTATTTTGTATTAGGGATTGTGGGAAACGGTATTTCGATCTCTCTGTCTGTACACACAAGCTGAAAGATTGACAATAAAATTGACTTTGAGATATTGGTGAGACAAAAGACCAACAGTGCAGGTGTTTGTTCATCTTTACCTTCTTTATCTGTGGCGCTGCTACAGTTGAACACAGCTGAGCAAGCAGTTTGTCCGCCCTGCCGCTCTCCTTCCACTCCATGAGCTGCACGGTCGGGGGGGCCATGTCCAGAGAAGCGATCAGATCTGAGCAGTTTGAGATCTGCTCTCTGATCGCCTCGTTGCTCAGCTCTTTGCTCTGATCCACCACCAGCCTGCGTTGCCTCTTCCCCCTCCTCTTCTCAGAGTTTGCTGAAAACAGACAGTAGAGCAGTGACCATCAACTGGTGGCCCGCCAGACATTCTCATCCGGCCCGCACGACGGGGGTGACTGTGGCTTTAGTGCGTTCGCCCCCCACACATTATTTTTTTTACAACGTCTCGTGAGTAATGTGCAGTACCGGAGTCCAACAGAGAGGCAGAAACTGCGGGACAGTAGACTGCCTTCCCTGCCCTGAAGAAGAAGAAGTGTTCCTTCGCTGTGAAGAGTCTGCTTTGTGTGCAGACTCACTGACTGCACTGATTTGATTGGCTGAGTAGCGTCACCTCTTTAAAACATTAAACAATAACTTTTTCAAACCTTTTTATCTTTATGTTTTAAACATATTGTATACAACTCCCCCACTACTTGGACTATTCCTTGCACCCCTCTAGAATAAGCCCGAATGGTCTCAACCATATTGCATCAGTGACGTGCACTTGTTATAGCAAGATTGCAAGGTCGATTGGACAATTGAGTGTTGTTCAGTTCGTGTGTTGTGGAACATGCGTGTGCGTGCATGAAAATATACCACACACGTTTTGTCGAGGGAACCATCAGCTTACTTTAGGGTAAATACGTCCTCCCTGCACCTCTCTATAAACGCTGAATTAAACCTCTCAAAATGAAAACAAAAGACAGATATTACTAAGTGTTTGTGGGTTTTTTGTCGTTGTGGGTAAAGGGGCTTAATGGCAGGTGGTTTCAGGTGTGTGTGCATAAAATATGTGAGGTGCAGGAACACAGTTTGAGAGGTGTGTGATTGTTCCTACGAGTGACTGGCACAGGGTCCAGTGCGAAGCCGCACTCCTCGTTGGCCAGCAGCGTGGTCTCGTCTTGAGTCGGGATCACCACCTCTGTCCAATCAGCGTCTAGAAAACATACAGTTTGTTTTTTAGTTTGAAAACAACTCAAACACCACTGATGCAGCAGCTGTATCTTTGAACAAAACCCCGCTGATAAATGCAGTAGTTATAATATCGAAGCATAGCACTACACAAATTAAAAAGCACGACACAATACATAGCACAAATAATTATTGAACTATTCAGTACGTGTTCCCACACCTTCTTAAACATTAGCTTTCAGGTCCAATTCCTTCAAAATGATGGATCAAATCGTTTTTGGGATGTATAAACTGTCTAATTGAAATTGAAATAGTAGAATAAATAAATAAATAAAATAAATAAATAAGATGTTATTTGAACAAAGGCTCAAGCTTATTTGCTGTAACAACAATTAAATATAAAAAATTAGACCTAGCGTTAATGAAGCACTTCACAACATATCAATTCAAGCCCTTTGAATAAGCCATGTTGACTTTCAAGACCTTCATTTGATAGATTTCCCCAAACTTCTTAGGACGTCAAGGCCCATGACGTTAACATGAACGTTATCAGAAGACCAACATATTTATCGTGACGATGCATCACCTTGTTGATCCTCGAGTGTTGAGATGTGTGTATTTTCATGCCGAGGATCTTCTGGGATGAGGTTAGACTCAGAGATTTCACAGTTTGTCAGGAAGTCTTCAGAATCATAAAAGAAAGAGAAAGGATGATCTTCAATTGGACAGCAAAGGAAAAATCACAGTTAACATAAAGTCAGATTTAGGTTTAGGATTATAACGCAATCTGTAGCAGCAGCTTGCTCCAAAGCTTCATGACTCGGTGCAGAGAGTATTTGTATTTGTATGAGATAATGAGAACTGTGTTTCAGATGCTGTTGGGAAAATACTGAACGTCCTCTTCCAATATGAGAGTAACATGATAACAAAGGTATCCCAACTGTAGCTGTGTACATGACAGGATGTCTGATTACCCAGAACAGGGTTCCTGCAGGTTTCACCAGCTCAAATGTAAGACTTTTTAAAACCTTTTTAAGACCACTTTGAATAGAATTTAAGAGAAGAAAGTATGAAGGAAAATTGCTATGAAAGAAGAAATACGTCCCATAATTACTTACAAAGTAATGTATTCACGTTCAACATAAGAAAGATGGCTGAACATAACAGAACACAGAACTGTGTTAGCGTGTGAGACAAAAAGTGTGTGTTGTGTTGTTTGCAAAAGGTGCAGCGGGCTTCCAACACGTTCCCCTCCACTGGTTTCAACCAAGCACTAAATTCAATGTTTTCCAACCAAATACGGCTGAACTGACACTTCCCCATATTTATTTGTAAGTAGATTCGAAGATACCTGAGTTTCTGACTGCCGCTAGCTGAAGCTTGGTTGGTTGGTTGGTTGCTAGGTTACGAGCTGGGTGTTCTCCGATAAGGCTGTCAGAGGCTGGATCTTCAAAAGACGTGAAAGGCTGCTTCACAGACACTAACTTTCACGCAACTGTGAAATTACCATCGTGACTTCAAATACATCAGTTTATTGCTCCTGAAAAAACCACTGGGGTAAAGATGCCTTCAAATGAGTGAAGAGCACATTTCATGACATAATAGCTGACCGTTACATTCGACCAGATTAACTGCAAATATATTTCATTTGATTTCCCTTCAATGCCTCCTAATCCATGACATACTCAGGCTCCTAACAAGAACAGACCGTGGGGAAATCCTTTTAACCGTGCTCGGACATAATTGGTCTTCAAAGGCTGACCTTGGAGTAATAAGTCCCTGAGTTTGGAAAAGGGATCTGGTGAGTTGGGTTTACTCAAGTCCTTTATTTTAAGGTTTTTCATGTGTCAACTTATGAGAGTGTATTAGTGCCATTGAAGATAAAAAAGAAATAAAAACGGAGCTCGGGGAAAGGGCGACTACTTGGAAGAAAACCTCAGATTAACATCATTCAATGTAGCAAAACAACTACAAAGCAAATTAACAAGAAAATTGAATTTTCTTTGTCAAGGAATCACTTCACTTAATTTGCTAAATGAATCAAAATCATTGAAGCATAAACAGAGCGTCGTTTGTTACACTTAATGGAAATAATATCCTGCTTTAGATTTGGTATTTCAACATTTTTTTTTTTTGCTGTTCTATATCCATATTGGGATGTTTTTAAAAAAAATGTAATTGTTCATTTCCACTCTTTTAATGCCTCGTCTTTAATCCTATCGCAACGCAAACATTTCCCAACTTGGGATCAATTGGGAAATGCATCTTATCTTATGAACACGTTTTTACTCATACATTTTAAACTTGAAAATCTCAGAATAAATTGAGTTTATTTCTCGTAAAGTCAGATTTTCTTTTAAGGTAACTTAATTTTTCACTTTGACCTTTTCACCTAATTTGCTGTTGTTCAGTCTTCTATAATTAGTGAAGTTTATATATATATTTATCTAATTCTGTAAAAAGTGCAGTCTTTTCTGACAGGGTATTTGCTGAATAAGTTAAACAGGGTATATGCAGGAATCCTGAAGTCAAATGTAAAACCTTTTAAGACCTTTTTTAAGACCCTTCCCATACATTTTAAGACCTCATCGCCACTTTGAGTTTTAACCGGTTACATTGGCGACACACTTTACATTTACTGTTGGGGAATAATTTGCCCTGCATGTCCTCCTCCTTCGCCCTTTGACGCAGATGCCCTAACCCCTATCTCCCTTAAGGAGGGGCTGCCCTAGCAAGTTGATGTTGTTACCAGTTTGTGACCGGCAGCTCTCGGTCAGAGATAGTTATTGTTGTGGGACACCTGGAACACATCCTTCTCGGGGTGTAGATGGCCATAAGCAACAACACATGTGATTCAGTGTCCTCAGCTGTTTAGTCTCTCTATTGAAGAATGTTGATTATTACACTCTGAACTAGTTCAAACCTGGAGCTACAGGAGGGGTCTTCAGGATTGATTGTGGCATCTCAACTGTGTGGTCAACTCGTGGACTGTGACATGTCTTGTGAATTCTCCGGCCGAAGCTCCAAATAAACCGTCAGTGTTTGCCATCAAAGCTCCAGCTCTCCTCGTGTCTGGAGTCCTGACTCCATCAGAGCTCCAGCTCTCCTCGTGTCTCTCTGAGTCCTGACTCCATCAAAGCTCCAGCTCTCCTCGTGTCTCTCTGAGTCCTGACTCCAATTGCTTCAGAAGTTTCTCCTACATTGACTATATACAGTATTGATTGTTCTTCCTCCTTATCTTCCAACCATTCGGACGCAGACTTGCATTTCCCCATAACGATGTTGTTTAACAACCGGCGTAAACGGACCTTCGCGCTATCAAGCAGTGAGCGTGAGATGTCCTGTTCAGATGACGTCAAATCCAACGGGATGCCATAAATAAAGTACACAGAATCACACTACACACCTACGCCATGATTACATTCAGGCAGACTGTAGAATACAACCTCTCTGGACCATTTAGATACTTATTGAAAACAAGATACAAAATGTAACACCTTGGGAAATGGCCTTAATTTTCGCCAAATGTATGTATCAACTTTTAATGCTTTTTAAGACCCGCTTTAAGACACCCTGTTAAAATAAAAATGGTCAAAAGGCCATTATCAACAGTAAAGGAATTCTGCTTTTTTTGTGTGCATGATGTTCTTTAGAGCATTTGCATATGGCAAAGATTCATCCTGACCGATTCACAATCATTACCCAGGAAGTCTCCTTCTCTGTCCTCGTCCCCAAAACCGTCTCCCTGTTGAGAGAAGCCCTGGAAGTCCAGCAGCCCAGCGCTGATGCTCTGGGACTCGTTCCCTACACATCAGAGCACACAAAGGCAGGAAAAGGTACATTTCAAGGTTATTCATTTTTGATATTGTCAACAAATCCCCCCCCAAAAAATCTACTCCCAGTCACTCATACAGTGGGGCAAAAAGGTATTTAGTCAGCAACCAATTGTGCAAGTTCTCCCACTTAAAAAGATGAGAGAGGCCTGTCATTGTCATCCTAGGTATACCTCAACTATGAGAGACAAAATGAGAATTTTTTTTCCAGAAAATCACATTTAATTTATTTGCAAATTATGGTGGAAAATAAGTATTTGGTCA